GCCACTGCAGCAGTAGTGCAGAGCAGCTTCTATGTCCAGGCCCTCTTTTGTCCTCCCCTCCAAGCAGAAGGCTCTTTGACAAGTATGAAATGGCTGTTTGATGAGTACAGAATAACCCGCTTTCCAACCAGTGTCTGCTTGCTGGTAAAAGCTGTTAATTGCCTCGTATAGTCTTCTGTCAGCAACATTATCCCTCCCGTCCTGCTGAGACTGGGATGAGAGATGGTCCTGTTCAGTGGCTGCAGTGAGACATGGAGAGGGGGAAGATGAAATATAATATGAGAAATAATATCTACAGTAGCAAGCAAGGCTAACTGAAAAGCCGTAAGGGAAGCAGGATTCCAAGGAGAGAGGAATGCTGGGGGATGAAGAGCATGGACTTCTCTTGACAAAGGTCCAGGATCATTTTGAAAGTGCCCAAGAAATTATTTTTTAAAGTCTATTTTTAATACAACCTACATGTGTGACGAGAGCGCTGCCTGCCACACCACTATCTTATTACTTCCAAGATTAGCAACAAAAAGATTAATTTAGACAGGATGGAATATTTTCTACCAAAACTGTCACTGCCTTCTGGGGAGCAAGTCTGACCTGAAAAGATCACGTACAGGGAAATCCCACACCACAGGCAGTCCCTCATGGATGGGAGTCCCCTAGCTGGAAATACAACAGTTTGGGTTAATTTCAGCACAGCTGGGGTGACTGCTGATGACATCATGTGACTGTAATAAGTCACTATAATTGATCATAAATATATGTATTCCACTATAGCTGACAACAAAAGCTGTGGAGACAACAGTGGATGAGGCCTACATGCCTGTTGTCTGAGGAAAGGTGATCAAGCAGCTATTAAATACTAAAATGAGTCTTTGGTTCAGGAGGTTCCTGAGACACAGATGGACCTGTGAACCAGGGAGTGAATCTTCATGCACTAGCACGGCTCTCGTGCCCTGCCCTGCACATTGCTGTCACACAGAGGGAGAAGCAGGCTGTTTGGCTGGATGCTCTGCTGGGAGGCCATGTAGGTGTTCTTATGTACCTGTATTGAAGTGACCCCTGCGATATGGGGAGCCTTCAGGAGGAGCTTCCCACCTGCATGGCAGTGCTTGCTTTTCTGGCTTACACTTTAATTCCTCCAAGTAATATGGAAATAAAAGGATTATGATCACTCCCTGTCCATTGTCAAGAGCTGCAAAACCCAGTGACAAACCCTCTCAGCCCTCTCTAGTGCTGGTGCACACAGAAGGTGACAGGCTGCTGGAGCTGGAGCCTCTGTTGCCCAGCTCCTTGAGGCTCAGCCCTGAAGCAAGAGGCAGAACTCCTGTTCATACTGATGGACACGCAGGGATGGCCCATCTGGGGACACCCAGATTAAAAGCTGATGGCACAATGGAGAAGGCACAGCGTTTGGGTTGTACTGAGGGAACTTGCTCGCTTATCAACATTTCTGCATTCTCTTCTTTGCCAGAGACATTGATCATATACTTTACTTACACTGAAAATTACCTCCTCCAAAGACAACTGAATCATTTCTCCAAGTTGCTACTAACATTTCTGGAGAGCACTCTGCTCCAAGGGAGCCAAATACAGACAGGCTTCTGCAACCACAGCCCCCTCCCAGCCCCACCAGCCCTTTCACACCCTGGAAATTCATCCTGCTCAGGGGTCTCCACAGCAATCACTTCATCCTTTCCAAAACAGAGCGGCTGTTTAGCTGTGGCTCAGCATGGCAGGTCAGAAGATGACGAATCTCATATCCAGTTGAGACTTGGGAATTTTTAGGGAAACAAAACGCCAGCTGTGTAAGCTGGAAGAGGGCTGAGACACCTGGTTCCATACTGCCGCTCCCAAAACTGCACCAAGCAACCCTTCCAAACATGGGGACTTGGCTTTAAACTGCCTCCAAAGCAGTGAGCTCTGGCAAGAGAGGCTTCCTTGGTCTCACATGAAGTATCTTCCCCCACTCTGAACAAGGAGGGATCCCTGACTACCAGCCCAGCTCAGCAGCTCTTAGCTGATGGAGTTTACAGGAGTAGATCACCTGTGTGAGGTGGGGTGGGATGACTGCAGCCCAGCTGGAGCATGACCTTAGAAGGCAGAACCAAGTCACAGCAGGCCTGATGCCAATAATACACTTAGGCCTAAATGTTCCCGTGTTTCATGTCATTCCATCAAAAATCTTGGAGAAACTTATTTTTGGCTGAACCAGGTGTCACAGAAAAGAGTGCCAACTGCAGTGTTTCTCTGTTAAGTCAGGAGGAGACTCAGTGCAGAGATAGGTGCAAAGCAACCAAACAGCAGAGGACTGTCACCAGAGGCTGCAGCCGCTCAGTCTCACAAACATGATCTATCACACCCAGGCTGCTTTCATTCCTTCCCCTCTTCCCCCACATCACACACACATTAGCAGGAGTATAGCAGGAGGGGTGTCACGGATGCTTCGCAGACACCCAAATGTGCTGTAAGTGCCACCTCTGTAGGCAGTGCTCTACACTGGTGGCTTAGAGGATGAAAACGTTATGTGTCTGGCTCTGCAAAGTCTCTGTCTGCCCCAGCTCCATAGGAGCACAGTCCCCTACCCCTTCAGATGGCAGCTCCAGCGGATAAGGCTACTTCTCAAGCTCCTGGGTGGTTCACAGTCAGGCTGCATCACCACACAGGCTCCAAGACAGAGCATCCGCTCTTGAAAAATACTTCTGGCCACAGAGACTTCCTTTTTCCCTCTAACAAGGCTTGTGTTCTTTACTTGGGAAAGCACATCGAACTCAAGCAGCTGGAAGCAGTGTGGACCAGTGGCTAGAACACTGCCCTGGGGCAGCAGCTCCGTCTTCTAGTCTTTGCCCTGCAAGAGGCTTGGGTGAACTTGGACAAGGCCTCTCTCTTCAGCTTGGACCTCTCTCTTCTCCTGTTTGTATTTCAACTGGAAATGGTTTCCAATCCAGGGGCAGAAGCAGCCTATGAAACGGTTAAATGCCACTGAGGTGGAGAAGCATGAGTCAAGCCCTTTGGGACATAAGCCATGTCTGGGTTGTTTCCCCCCCACCGCTCCAGACACCCTGCCGCCAACACTACGGGTCTCCTCACCATCACGCTTCAAGGTGTGAGTGAGCAATTGCTGCACAGCTGTGAGCCCTGAGACCCAACACCAAATTCCACGGTCCAAATTTATCCTTTCATGGTTGTTATATTAATGGTTGTTCTCTACCCCATTCATCCCATGGGAGGTCATGCTTGACAGAGGGTCCTTCACAACGCCAGCCTGTCTGTGCATGACCAAAGGACACACACTGACACTGTATCTCCCGGGTTATCAGTCCAGCCTGCTGGAAAAGCCACATCTCCTGTCAACCCCCACGCGCACACCAGCTGCTCCTGACTCTGATTGACAACGTTTGTCCATTAACATATGCTCAGAAATCTCTATGAGGCTTCTACACGTCTTTTTAAGATCGTCAGGTCTTTCAGGTTGAGATCTTCATGCACTCTCACAAGCAGTTCTTGTGATTCTCACAAATTCTTCAGCCACCCTCACAGCAACCCTATAGCACTGCTGCGTACCAGTGGATTGAGGAAACTGAGGCATGTCACCAGAAGCCACTTCCTTGGCGTTGTAAGGGAGTTGACAGCAAAAAGAGAGGAAGAATTGCTACTCCTTGGTCTAACCAACCATCCTGTGCAAGGAAGAGAGCTCAGGCAGGTTGGCCCAATGCCCAAGCACTCTTGCATCCTCTCTTGCCAGTTTACAATTCTGAAAGCATTTTGCAAGCAAATTTAATTTCGTGCTTAATACAAAGACGAGATCATTTTGTTGCAGGTGAAGAATGAAGTCTCTTCTCCCTGAATTACAGGATATGCCTTTTACAGTGGTAGGAGGTATCTCTAAGATATTTACGAGTCAATCTGTTTGTTTACAATTTAAAATAAATTGCCCTTTAAATATCTGGCAGCTGATATGACCCCATCATTGTGCTGAAAGATTTACAGAGTAGTTGCTAACACCCATTTCCAGAAAGAACAAGGACAGGTTGTTCTTGTGTGTCCGTAGCCACTGGTCATGTTAACAAAAATGCCACCTGTCCTTCAGAACATGACACCATGAATACCAGTAACAATTAATTACACCAGTAAGGGGAGAGTTCAGGGCATTCACAGCAGCACCTGATGCATTTCCCCTCTTATACATATTTGTGTTTCTTTGTTTCCTACACTGGTCTCCGATTCCCTCTCCCTCCATGCCAAATGAACTGTGTTTGGCCTCTATTCCCAGGACACTGCCTGTGGAAAGCTCCTCTGAGGCACCTGTCTGCTGCCAACACAGTGAGAGGCAGAAATCAGGAATGAACTGCCCCACAGTGTCATTGTTAATCCTGCGGTCTCCAGAGTACGATGAAGCCTCTTGCCAGACCCCTGTGTAAATCACAGATCTCTGCAGGCCAGTTTCACTGACTAACATCAGCCCAAATTACTCAGAATCCAGGGCAAGATCTCTAAGGGTGCAGGACCCACTACTGCAGCTAGATTTTTGAAGGGACCTGCATTCAGCACTCTTGAGAAATTCAGGAAACATGACCACAATCTGTTGGATCTCAATAGTGGTGCACTTAGATATGAGGACAAGATTGAGCAACAAGCTGAGAGACATAAAGTAGCGAATTCTGCTCCATCAGCCAAACTCTCTCTTATTCCACTGTTGCTGTGCTTTAAACAAAGTGACAGGGATGACATCTGGAAGACAACTGAGCTGGCTGCATCCAAGTTACCTGGGGCAGGCAAGAGGGGTGCTGGGCAGGGGGAAAGCCAGCAAGAAAGGGAACAGAAAACGGTCTCCTGGAGGTGCTGTGTGTGAGATCTTCCTCCCATGACTATGAAGGAAATACACATGCAGCTAAACTCTCTCTTCCAAGGAATTGGAAACCAGTCTCCTGAAGAAGGGACCTGAAAGTAAAATGCAACTTTCAAGATCACCTTATGTTCGGTGGGTCTGTCTTTGAAGCACTGACCTAAAAACCTGATCCCTGCATTTGGTGTCTCAGCTGCCTGGGCCATTCCTTTATTTACTCCAAAGGGATCACTCAGTGTCTTGTCACCAGTTCAGGCTGCTTCCTCCAGGTGTCATCCAGCTTACTGCAGCCCCACAAGAAGCAGTGATGTGTACCTTTGGGCTGCAAAAGAACACGAAGAAACAGATTGCTGTGACAACAGGCATGTCAGAGAAGATAAAAATACCTCCTCACCAATCATGCGGGGAATGTTAGTAATATAAAATCCCCGTGGTCATCTGGCTTTCAAATCTGTAAAAACTCAGACATTTCACAACATTGACAGTGTCCCACAGCCAGGCCTAAGGTTCCGCTCTGAAGTGGGATCTGCAAGTTAGCACCAAAGAGGTTCTTCCGCTCGGCAACACTGGAGTAGGAGGAAGGAATTAGAAGTCCCTTGTGCCTCTAATACCCAGGATTATTCTCATGGAATACTTCCTTGGATCCGTCCAGCTGATGTAGGCCACGGTCCCATAACAGACTCCAACTGAGTGTGGGGGGAATGCAGCTGTGACAGGGTCAGGATTTTACACATTATGGCAATGGGGTGAAAAAACACTTTTACATCAGTAATTCCCATACATGGGTGCATGTGGGACATTTTAAAGGCTGGCAGTCTTCACAGTATATACATTCTACAAACCCTAAAACAAGAAAATCAATTTATCCCCTCCTAAAAACTTAAAACTATCTATGCCAGATAGACATTCCCCTGTGATTTACATGTATTTATGCCTGAATATATCTCACCTCAGTCTTCTCACTTTTATTTTCATCAAAAAGCAAACTCTGTCAGGACATCCCTCCCATGGCGGGACATGGCTCCACACAGCATTTGTTGCAGACAGGTTCCTGTCACGGCGGTGGGATGGGGCTGCAGTGGAGCTACAGAGACACGGCCAGAAACGCCTGCCCCTGCCCTGGCCCACCCAGGCGAGGCACAGCTGCTCCAGCCACAAGGTTTCAAGAAGTTTTAAACCAGAGGTCTAGAGGTTGGGGTCTCTTCCCCCCCACCCCCCCTTTCATCAGTGGATGCTTTTTACCTGAAAGAGAATCAGCTCCTGACTTTATCCAGTGCCACGACATAAAGCTCAGGCAAATCAGAAGGAAAAAAAAAAAGATAATACTTTGGGCCACCCAGCTGCAGAACGGAGCTTCCCAGGGAGCTGCCACAGGAGCAGGTCCAAGGGTATTTGCATGCCTGAATTTAAGGATGGGGCCAGAAAATGGGGCAGGACTCAAGATACTTCTGTAGCCACATCTCAGAAATGTTCTCTTTGGGCAAACACAAGACCCCACGGCCTTGGAAAGGCACAACATTCTTCTTGGCACAATGATGGAGCAAAAATGAGTCACTGGTTTCCAATACAAGATTGCAGACCTGCGGCCTTTGAGCCTAGAGGATCGGGATTATCATTTAGAGCCACACATCAGCCAAAAAATACAACGCAGGGCACTGCTGTGGCCCGCGTTTCCCCTTTGCTGGACACCGCAACACCTTCGGCTGCCTCGCGCGGCCCGCTGAGGGGAGAGCCCGCGGCTCTGAGGGGGAACGGGGCTCTCCCGCGGCTCAGCCCCAGGACGGGGCAGCCGGGCCGGCCCGACGAAGGGGAAGGCAGGCGGGAGGTGCCCA